CCCCGGCCCCTGCCAGCCTTGCAGCCCGCGCCCAGGGCGCCCGGCTCGGCTCCTTGCTGCCCAGGTCTCCCCTGGGCAGTGTAGACGTGCCCCCGGCCCGGCCCCTGCCTGAGGGAGGAGCCCCGTGAAGAGGGAATGGGCTGACCGGTCCGCAGCACCACGGCTCGCGCTGGCCCGCTGCCGTCGGCCTGGCTCTGGACGATCTCCGTTCCGCAGAAGAGGACGTGGCGTTTGTAATCCTCCGCGCAGCAGGTTCTCCAGGGCCTGGCGTCCCCCGACCGGGGCAAGGGCGTCTTGGTGACTGGGATGCTTTCCCCTGGAGGAGAGTGGGGCACATGAGGGAAACCTGCCTCCTCCCTTCGCGGGCTGGGCGGGGGTTCGCCGCTGCCCGGTTCTGCCTCTGACCCTCATCGCCCTAGTGTCCGAGCATCTCCCGGGCCTCAGTGTGTTCTCCCTCCGTCTGCCGCCTGCCGCCAGCCCCAGGGGTGCAGGGCACTGGGCACAGGGACTTGACCAAGGTCACACAAGTGAGTCCCTGGCGCAGCAGGGAGGGGAACCTGGCTCTCCCAAGCAGGACAGCCGGTGCCTGCGGAGGGAGGGGGGCAGGAAGAGCCACCCAGAGGAGCAAGGTGGCATGTGAGGCCCCCGCATTTGGCAATTAAAATACTGGCAGGGGCATATGGGGACAGCGCCTCTCCCGAGTGCTGCCACGAGCCACCCGTGCTCTCCGGGCCCTTGCAAGCGCCCTGGCCACTAGCGCAGCCGTGCCGGCGTTGCAGGGTCCCTCCCGGGGCATGCGGCTGCTCAGGCAAAGGAACGAGGGCACACAGGCTGCATGGGAACTGTCCTGGCGCAGGGCAGGGGGGCAAGGCCTGAATCCTGACTCGCCGGGGACAGCCGGGGGCAGGGCCTCTCCTCAGGCCAGGCAGCGGCTGTGCCCCATCAGCGTGGAGCTGAGTCGGTGGCTCCCCGGCGTCCGGCTGGGACCGGGCAGCAGGTCCCTGGCTGCTGGACTACTTCCCGCCCGAGAGGGGAAGCTTTTAGTCACGTGCCTGGCTGCTGCCAGGTCTCTGAGCTACGTCCCGGCAGAACGCGCCCCAGGGCGGCCAGGCAGACCAGCTGCTTTGCGCCCTGCCCTGCCCCTGGGCTGCAGCGGGACGTCAGGCTGTGTCTGCCGGCAGCTCAGCCTCCCTGGGCCCCTGCGTCCCTGGCCCTGCCCTGCCCCCCCCTGCGGCGGGCCGGCTTTCTCTGAAGGACTCGCTCTCTCCACAGGAATGCGTCTGAGGCAAGCGCTCCAGAGCCCAGCGGGGTGAGGCGGTGCCGTTAGACGGGCCATGCACGCTCCATGCTAGGGATGCAAAATCCCCTTAATGAGTTAGCTGGTTAATCGTTAGGTCAGCCTAATGGTTAACCGCTTAACCGCCTGAGCTGGCCCCGCCCCCAGGGGTAACCGGTCACCCCCCCGCGCCCCACCCTCCCCCCGG